AAACAACAGAGGAATCAACCTATCAAAAATAGCATTTTTAAATAGCATTAACTAAAGGTCAACATCTTTTTCACGCTTTGAACTGCTTATAATATTACTACAAAATACAGATAAACTAAAAGTGCAGAAATAAGCATCACAGATAAATTTATTGCTTGGGACCCTGAAATCCAGGATCGGTATCCAATTTAAAAAGACCCAGGAGCTAAAAAGGCGGGGTAGGGTGACTCACAAAGAGAGATTTAGGCGCGAATTGGATTAGCTCGCATCCATCCTAATACGCTTTGATATTCACCGACTTCCAATATTGTTTTTCGTATTTTTTAGACCCTCATTTCCAACGCTCTCTGATTCTGCTGCCCTTTTTATACAAATTGCGCATGCGCCGGTCAATCTGATTGAGATTGAGTCATCATAGAAAGGGATTAAATTTCCTCCCCTTTTTTTTCCGAGAATCTTCATTTTTTTTTATTGTTTGGAATATTAATATGGAAAAAAAATTTAGATTTAGTATAAATACTGATACTGATTTGCATTTAGAAAAATTACTTATTTAATTTGTTAATAATAATAATTAATGGTTATTAAATGTTGATGTTGTTTATGTTATCGTCAAATGATGACAAAAATAATGTTAAAATAATGATGTTAAATAAATAAAAATTTTGTCATTAATTATATACTCAAAAAAAATAATGGCAAAAACTAAAATAATGAAGTTGTTAGATTAAATTAAAAACAAATTACTTTTCCTTAAATAAATTCAAATTACTTTTCCTTAAATAAATTCAAATTACTTTTCCTTAAATAAATTCAAATTTTTTTCTTTAATATTGTTATTTAGATTACTCAAGTACTAAATAAGAATAAACCGAAATACAAAATACTCAAAAAACACGAATAAAAAGTAGGAAAATGGTTTATGAAAATTTTTCTTTCATGTTCTTGTTCTTGATTTTTTTTGCTTTTATTTTTGCTTTTCCATCTTTCGCGAAATTAACTTGTGACTACTTGTATTAAAATCTCATAAAATGTTTCCTATTTCTTTTTTATACCTTGAAATTACTCTTTTGAGTGATACAAAAACTCAAATATGTGAATCTTACAAGTCAAAAGCTAACAGCGCAGAGAAGTGCTTCAATTCCGTTACGATAACGTATCGATGAAAATTCGATTCAGAAAGGCGAGATCCTGATTCTACCAAGGTGGTAACGCATACATTTGCCTGACTATTTTCTTACGCTCTAGATGCGCACATTATCGTTGAATGTGCGCATCTAGAGCGTAAGGAAAATTCAAATTAGAATAGGCTGACAGAAGCAGTTGCAAACTGCTTAGAAACGAGGAGATACGATGACGATTGTGACAAAACAGGTAAACTGTCTTGCATCGGAAGTAAGGTTGACTCCCATACGACACCAAAATGTCGTGTGAACTATCCCTAAAAGACATTATTAATTAAATAACTAATAACTATTATTGAAAATTAGCGGCTGATTAACCATGTTAAATAATTTTGCTAATCAACTCCATTGCACCATACGTTAGTTCCTTTCGAGTCATTTCCTACGATACCAGTTATGGAAAGATCTAATTATAATTACAAAAATTACTGCCCGACTCGTGGCTCAGTGGTAACTTGCGCGGCTGGTGATAAGGCTGAAGTTCAATCCGCTGGCGGCTTTGTTGCAGACACTACTTCCAAAAGTGAGAACACTCGATGGCGTTTGTAATGTTCAGCATCTTGCCTCATTAGTCGGACTGCTACACCACACAACGTCGCAATGCCTAGAGCTGAGTTGCCTCTATACAGTTTGGGAATGATGTAGCTGAGAAGTCTGACTAGACTCCGTGACGCTCTACGGTCATACGAGACCAGGACCTCGTCTTAAAGTGGATTACAAACCACTACAAACATCCATGGCACCGCCGGGACTCGAACCCGAAACCTGTGGACCATCGAGCGCTAGACGCTCAGCCATTCAGGCCCCATCGTCAGCCGGTCTACCTGGTGGAAGTTTTCCGGGTTTTCCCCATACGATAAGCAAATGCGGGATAATTCCCCCCTAAAAGTCCGCTTGGAATTCATTGCCCTCCTTCTTCAGCTAAATAAGACTTCTGGATTCTTCGTCACAATAAAAGCTGCACCTTTTCCCTAATTATGGGGTGTCCGTAACACACTGCCGGATACTGAGGATTTGTCAACAACAACAGAAAAACACATATAACTGATAAGAATGTTTTTCTTTTCTGAAATCGAAGAAAAAAAAAGCAAAAGATATATAAAAAATACACATTGTTACATATAAAAAAACACTAATAATACTTTTTTTTTCAAAAGAAGATTTTACATGTGTAATAAAAGCTTAACTATAAAAAAATTTAGAATCAACCCAAATTTTTTAAATAAAGCCATTCTGTGATACTTTCAAGAACTTTTTTATTAGGTTTATTAATATTTATTTTACGCTGATGTTATTAAAGAAGGCAATAAAGTTTGTTAAGGTTTTTCTGAATTGCTTAACTATCAGACCATCAAGCGTCCTTAATAGAGTATTTTCGGCACTAAAAATTGTTTTAAAATCATGAGCATCCATAAAAAAGGTAATTTGAAATAGAAAAGGTAATTGGAAAAATGTCTTTAGGGCGAGCATTAAATGCAATGCCCGGTGTTGAAATGACTTTAAAAACACTGAATGCTGTGCTTAAAAACTTTAGTACTCATTCCCCTATCTGGCAAGCTTTCTACTTTTTTTGAAATCTTCAAATACATTTTGTTACAATTCAAAATCTGTTCAAAACAATTCCAAATGTATACTAATCTACAATTTCTTTATTAAAAAAATATATCGTCAGAAAATTGTTAGAATCACAGATAAGAATTAAATAAACTGTTATAGTTAATTTATTATATTTAAAAGATTTTTTGAAAAAAAAATTATTTGATGTACATTAAATTAATATTTAAAATTATTTGATGTACATTAGATTAATTTTTAAAATTATTTGATGTACCTTAGATTAATTTTTAAAATTAATTTGATATACATTAAATTAATTTTGAAAATTATTTGTGTACATTAGATTAATTTTGAAAATTATTTGATGCACATTAGATTATTTTTATAATTATTTGATGCTCATTAGACTTTTTAAAATCAAGTGATGTACATTAGATTAATTTTAAAAATTATTTGATGCTCCCTAGATAAATTTTAAAAATCATTTGATGCTCATTAGATTAATTTTTAAATTTATTTCATGAACATTAAATTAATTTTTAAAATTATTTTATGAACATTAGATTAATTTTTAATATTATTTGATGTACATTAGAATAATTCTTAAAGTTATTTGATGCACATTAAATAAATTTTAAAAATTAATTTGATGTAAATTAGATTAATACAATTAATGGGGGCTTTTTAAAATCATAGATACTGGATGGTCTTCCACTTAATGTATAGCATCTTATCAGAGAGCGAATTAATGAGGTCATTGACTTTGGGGAGGAACCGCTCCGTATTTGCATATTGTAAGAAAGAAAAACTTCGAAAGCCCCACCATACTGTCTGACGGGTATTACGAGATGGCCTTTAGGGCCGGTATTAAATGCAAATGCTCTAGTGTCGAAATAACTTTAAAATTAATCGAATTCAAACTCAACATCTACTGCCATTAGTTTAAACTTCAAACTTAACTACTAAAATATGCTAGATGTGTACGCATATAACCAGTGGAATATGAGTCGGTCATAGATAACAGGTATATTATTTTTTAAAAATTAATTTTAGTTAAATAGTTTTTTCAAATCATATATAAAATAATTGTTGAATTTTTGTATGACAAAAATTGATTATGGAACTAAACGACAAGAATTTTTACTTTTAATCCGCAAGAAAAGCGATTATATTTTTTTGTTCTAATTGCAGCTGGCAAACATTTAGACAGCTTGGTCTTGGATGCCTTAAGGTAAGCGCTGCACAGACGTTACTCACTTTGCATTACCCAGGTGGCGCGTGTAACTTGAAGAAGCCACGGACGCGGAGTAACAATGCCCCCGCAACGCTCTACGATCTTATTAGGACCGGGACCTATGGTTTAAAGTGGATTCCGAACCACTACAAACATCCATGGCACCGCAGGGACTCGAACCCGAAACCTGTGGTACCGAGCGCCAGAGCGCTAGCCACTCGGCAATTCAGGCCCTTGTATGATAATATACACTTTGAAAATTTATTTTCTTCTGTGGTATTATTTACAAATACTTATAAATTTATATTTTTCTTCATTTAAAATTATTTATTATATAGTAGAAAATAGTGCTATTAAGCTGTATATAAAAAAAAAATTATTATTAACTAACTAACTAACTCCCCGGCACTACAATCCATGTTGGACCATGCCCGTCTGCCTATTCCGAAACCAGAGTTGTTTTCTTATTACGGGATAGGGTTGTCAGCTCTACGCCCAATGCTCTACAATCATATGAGACCGGGATCTAAGATTTATAGTGGATTCCGATTCACTACAAATATCCATGGCAATGCCGGGACTCGAACCCTGTGACACCGGGCGCCAGAGTGCTAGTCGGACATATTATTATGCCTATAAAAAATCCAAATCTGAATAAGATATCAAATATCTTAAATCACCTAAAAACTGGAAACATGCATCAAAATAATAAAAAAAAATATATATTGTTGTTGTTGCTGCTTCTTATCCCACTTGGCTAGCTAAGCACACGAGCCCATACGTTCTCATGATTGAAGGGGAAGGAAGCAGCTTCTGTTGTGATGGAGCACCCGTAGGTAGAAGTCTGACTTTGGCTCCGTGACGCTCTTACAGTCATGGGAGATCGGGACCTACGGCTTAAAGTGGATTCCGAACCACTACAAACATCCATAGCACCACCGGGATTCGAACCCGAATCCTGTGGCACCGAGCGCCGGAGCGCTAGACTCTCTGCCATTCAGGTCCCAAATTTGTGAATGCCAAAGGCACGCGGTGTTCCCAGGTGGTCACCCACCCAAGTACTGACCGCGCCCAATGATGCTTGACTTCGGTGATCTAACGAGAACCGGTATATTCAGCATGGTATGGCGGTTGGCATAAAAAATATATATAGAAATACAATCTGAATTCCATTAATTTATTCAAAAATTAGACACTTATTTCTATAATTTGAAATGGCCACATTTTGGTGAAAAGATTTAGGGTGGCTAGACCTTATTGAAACAAAAACACTTGCAAGCATTGAAACTTATTTGTAAGCATTGAAATTAAAAAGCTTAGTATTTGAAATACTTATATGTTACATGTATTAAAGAAATATTTACATATATACTTATGTGACATGTATGTGTTACATGCTACTTACATGTTGCATGTATTAAAGAAAAGCTTACATTTATACTTATGTATGTTACATCTTACATACATATATACTTACATAAATAAAATAATTACTTACATGCATTGTGTTACTGATAAGATATTTTTTTGTTCTAATGCAGCTGGAAAACACTTAGACAGCTTGGTCATTGGATGCCTTAATGCAAGTGTTGCACCGACGTTACTCACTTTGCATTACCCAAAAGGCGCGCGTAACTTAAAGATACGGACGCGGAGTAACAATGCCCCCGCAACACTCTACGATCCTATTAGGACCGGGACCTACGGTTTAAAGTTTATCCAGAACCACTACAAACATCCATGGCACCGCCTGGACTCGAACCCGAAACATGTGGTACCGAGTGCCAGAGCGCTAGCCACAAGGCCATTCAGGCCCTACTGATAAGATATACCTTAAAGAATTCAGTTCCAGTTTTTAATTATATTTACACTTTTTTTATCTTTCTTTTATGCAAAAAAAAAAAAAAAAAAATCTATATCTATAAATGAGTTTTAACTTCTTCTATGATACAATACAAAAATATTTACTACAAAATTAAAGAATTCAGTAATTATTGTTTGTATAATTATGTGGTTTTTATTTAGTTTTTGTTGGAATCTAGATTCGAGTAACCTTTCTTTTAACTTATAGATCTTTGCCGTGCTTCAAAAATATATCTGTGCGACGTTTAAAAGTATAACATGTATAAATACAGTAATAAAGGTAAGATTTTTTTTGTCAATTTAAATGGCCATCTATCTTGAAACTTACAAACTAATAATAACCTATTAAATTCTAAAGCAGAATTACAAGTAGAACATCTTTGGGTTTGACAAAGTGAGTCAATGAGTAATTCAAAAATCTGTGGCGGAATTAGAAACATACCAAATATTACTTTTTTTTACATTATGGCCCTTTTTTTATCGTGTCTCTTGAGGCTATATTATTCAGTGAACCAAGAGTGGTAATGCCGTTAGCCGGACAAAAGGGCATCGCAGCCATCTGGGCTGTTCATTTGGAGCAGGGGACCAAGAAGCGACCCCCTCCAACCCCCCAGTGTTTATCCGGGCAATTTCCTGTGCGCAGCTTATCAACCCGAATTCAGGTGCGTGTGATTGGTTTCAATTGGAATACAACGGAGTGGATTAAAGACCTTTTCATTTAAATCTCTTTTTCCGTAGGGCAGGGGCCGTCCATGTGATGAAAATGAGTTCGCATTCTGTTGGATGTTAGAAAAAACTCAAAGCTTAAGTTTCGAAATCAGTAAAATTAGTGATTCCTTGTTAAAAAAATTTAATTATTTTTTAAAAATAAATATTTGTAATAATTACTTGTTTGTAGTTGTAATAACTGTTTGTTTAATTTAATGGTTTGTTTAATTGTTTGTTTATTTGTTTTAATTGTAGCGTGTCTCAAATTTTTTTAAATTATTTACAGTTTTTAAATTTTTTTTTAAGTGAATTGAAAGAAGTAGTTTTATTAGACAGTAAAAGAAATTTTACTGATTTTTCTCAATAATGCTTTTTTAAAATAAGGATTTCATTGGTCCGAAATTTTTTCCAAGAAGTTCTTTTTGATTTCTAGTAATCTAATTTTTTTATCCTATGCCCGTCTCCTACCTCTTGATCATTTGTAAATGAGCAGTCCAATACAGTAATGAACAACAAAAAACAATCGCTTAAGGTATTGTCAGTAACGAAAAGGGAAACAGTTAAGAACAATAGGGCATATACGAAGGTGCTCACCAATCAGGGTCATGCCACGGTTGTAAAGGAGGCAGATACCTATATCATCCTGTCCTATTCTATACAGATGATTCTGTAAGTAATCATGGCCTCATGTAAGCAGTCATGGTAAGTAGTCTAGGCAAGGAATTTCATTATACAATAGTGAATTACATTTTTTCGTAATTTTAACTGACCAGCCATGTTTTTTTTTCTTGTTGAAATGCATTATGTATTCGATTTGTGAACGGAAACGGCCCAGTGGTAAGGAAGTGGTAACTCATTCGAATCCGCAGATCGAGTCCTATTCCAGTGTGCCAAGCATATGGCATCTCATCATTGTCTGAGTAGAACTTTCTAAGTTTTCTCTTGAATTTTTCAGTTCTTTTTTAAGTTTCTCCAAGTCAATGTTCTCTTTTCATCGCTCGTCAGCGAACTGTTCGTGTCATGCGTCAGTGGTGCAAAGGTCCATTGATATTGAATAAAAAATGCATTATATTTTTAAATGTTAGGGAATAATTGCGTAGATTAAAGTAAATTAATGAGACTTGTAAATCACAATGATAAAAAAAAAAGGAAAGGAAATTTAATAAAATTTGAAAAAATGTGTATTAAATGTAGAAAAACGTATTAAAATTACATAATGTTTTTTATTTTTTAATACTTCAATAAAAATAAAAACATAATTATTTTACACATAAAAACATGCAAAAATATTACACATAAAAATAACACATAACATTTAATTAATAATTAATTAATTAACGCATAAAAATTCAATAAAAACATAATTATTTAAGATTTGTATATTTTGTATGTTATTCATTACGTGATTTTAATCTCATAAAGTAAATCCAATACCATTATATAAAAATAGTTTAAGGTATTTATTAGAATAACGTAAAGCTTTAAGTAAAATAGTTTAGTATATCTGAAATTGAGACAGTTTACATGTATGGCATTTTAGATTTTAAGCATTAATACTAAATAGATTGTAGATTATTGAATTGGTTTAGATTTTTATGGCAAGTGAATTTTATAAAAAAATGTTAAGCAAAAGTCAGCAACAAATTCAGAAACTTTTATAAGCTGGCGTGGAATTCACCATCATATTTCTGAAAGGTAAATAAAAGATGACCTTAATTTTTATCTTACTTTAAAAAAATAAACCACTTGAGTTTTTTTTTACATAAATAAAATCTCCAGCAAGAAAAATATTGTTTTTAAGGTGACAGAAGCTTTAAAAAAAATAAACACTGTCTCTCCAAGAAAAGTAACGGTTCACGTAATCACACCCATTACTACACTTTAAAACCACACTTTCACTCAAGTAACCACTTTGAGAGAACGAGTTAAAAAGACTACGAATAGCCTCACGTCCAAAGTATACTTAAAGCAAAATGACGCCACCGACATTTCCTGAAGGGTCTGAAACACGGCTGAGGAGATATATGAACGGCCCAAAGAGGGGGCTTTTGGCTAAGTGGCTGGGGGGCATACCTTGGGCCTGGGGTGATGCAGAAAGGAGGGCGCTGAGATAAACGTCGCCAACAAAGTGGTGGCATTAAATCCTTTTAAAAGGGAGGGTTATAAGTTGTGCAAAGCTTCCCGTCCGAATGCAGAAGGGATTAATTTAGAGCAAACTCTGAGCTCAGCATTTTTTTATGAGGCAGTTTCATGACTGTATTAGTGATTGTAAAGTGTCAGAAACGCGTGTTTAACTATGTCGAGATTTACTTATTTGTTTGTTATAGATTGCAAATCCGCCCTGGAGTTTTTCATATATAAGGACATCAGACATGCTCTTTCCCTCCCAAGTTATAAACAATTTTTTTTTACAAAATTGCACAAAATGTTTGTAACTCCATTCCAAATATTAATAGTTCTATTTTGAATGATCTAGGAAACTATGATTAAGACGTTTCCATTTCCTGCTCTGAATAGTACCCATTAACGCTACAATATCCTAATTTCCCAATTGACCTTTGGTACCGCAGGCTTCAGGTTCGAATCCTGGGCGGTGGCAGGGATGTTTTGTTAGTGGTTCGGAATCCACTTTAAACTGTAGGTGCACAGTAACTGTCTTTAGTCCACCTCAAACTGTAGGTGCTGCCCTCTTGTGCATAAGTTGACCGTAGAGCGACAAACCCAACCTTTCCGAATTCCATGCAGTCACAATTTCCCCTCTTTAATTTTTTTTTGTTTCTATTTGCTTATTTTTTATTACCTCTTATTTTTCCTTTTAAACTTTTATTCCTTATTCAAAAACTATTATTATAATAATATAAAAAAAGGATATATATACAATTTATTTATTAATTACAAAATCAATAAATAATTAATTAATAAGTTAATTTCTTAACAAATTATTATTATTAATAATAATAATAATAATAATAATAATAATATATATATATATATATATATTATTTGAATTATTGAGGATTCCGAACCCCTAACAAACATCCCTGCCACCGCCCAGGATTCGAACCTGAAGCCTGCGGTACCAAAGGTCAATTGGGAAATTAGGATATTGTAGCGTTAATGGATACTATTCAGAGCAGGAAATGGAAACGTCTTAATCATAGTTTCCTAGATCATTCAAAATAGAATATATATATATATTATTATAACAACTGTAGGTTATATTAATATTATATATATATACATATATATGCCCACCTTTGACGCGCAACACAACTTCAACCCGTCTTGGCATGGGTGCCACAAGTCCTTGGTAGATGGCTGGAGACAGATTGTACCAGATGTTTAAGCAACGGTCACGCAAATCCGAGATATTGCGAATTGGTGGTCTTTGAACTCTGAGCTGCCGTCCCAGGACATCCCAAATGTGTTCTATCGGATTGAGATCCGGTGAGTTAGGCGGACAGGACATTAACTGGAATTCAGCATCATGTTCCTGGAACCACTCCAACACAATTTTAGCCTTGTGACAAGGGGTATTGGAACATTCCATTCCCAGCT